GTCCGGTAATGTTGTTGTCCTATCGTTCCTCAAAATTCGGCGGCCTTCTTCTTCTGTGCACTTTTTAAAAATCCCCTCCCCCCCAAGAAATTCTGTCATTATATACATCATTGTTTTTCTAATTGAAATTAAAAAGCAGTCAAAATGACTTCCTTGGGCAATCTAGTGTTAAAATTGTTTTATCTTTCTAATGAAGTATACATTTCATCTTATAAATTATAACTCTGTTAATGTTTTTGCATTAAAGTCTGCTTTGTGTATGTACTAAACTAGAGCAACTTTCTTTATTTTGTATGACTTTTTCATACTTTTTATTTTTAGATGTGATTCTTGTAAGCACTGTAATAATTGAATTTTGTTTATTTATTTTTAGTTAATTTTTTTAAATTATACTTTACATTTACTGTTTTGTATTACTTTCAGGTGTACAGCATAGTGCTTAGACGATCCTATAGTTTACAAAATTCCTCCTGTTATTTGTAGTACCCACCTTTTAAAAAATTTAATCTAATAATTTTTATCTTTTGATCCAGTTACATTTAATATAATTACTGGAATATTTGGGTTTACATTTGACATCATACGTTTTGCTATTTATATGTTCCTCTTTTTGGTGATTGTGCTCCGTCTTTTTGCATTTATTTGGGTATTTTAATTCTGTTTTTTCTTTTTTCAAAAAACACATTTTGAATTGTTTCAGAGGGGAAGGGAGAGGGAGAGACATCAATGGTGAGAGAGAATCATTGATTGGCTGCCTCCCCCCTACTGGGGATCGCCACAACCCGGGCATGTGCCCTGACCAGGAATCAACTGGTGACCTCCTGGTTCTTAGGCTGACGCTCAACGGCTGAGCCACACTGGCCAGACCTGTTTTTCCTTTCTATTAATATAGAAGTTATATACTCTTTTGCTCCTTTCTTAAATGTTTGTCCTAGAAATTAAGACATGTATTTTTCTTTTTTAAAGTGTGAGAGTTTATTTTTTGAATACATAATGTAGTCATGAGGTACAAAATTCAAAATATACAGAAGGTTATATGATAGAAAGACCTCTCTCACACTTGCCCACCAGCTGCCCAGTTCTCTCTAGATGACTCAGATGTGTATCCACTAGTACAGTCACCTTGCCTCTTTAGTGGCCCCCAAACATACTGTATTTACTGCTGTCTAAGCTGGAAGTCTTGGTTTATATCTTCCTGTTTATTCACCTTCTTATCCTTTAAAGCTCAGTTAAAGTCTTTTTCTCTTTCATAAAATTTTCCTAAACAAATCTAATTCTAACTGCTTTTCCAGAAGTCTGATGGTAATTGCAGTTTTCCTCACACATTTTAGCGCTTAATTGTGTTGTTTTTGGTTATCTTCTTTAAGTTTGAAGTATGTAAATCTTTCAGTGCTAGATTGTGTGTTCTTTGAGGGCAGGATACTATGTCTTATTTGTTGTATATAATGCTGAACACATAGCAGATGTCCCTAAAATACTTGTCTAATTAAATTGCTTCCTGGTAATGGCTGTCAGAAGCTGATTTTTCAGAAAATTTTCAATTTTGGTGCATCTTGAATCTCAATTATACATGGTAGATATAGTTTTTAGAGTTGCTTTTGAATGCAAAATTATAGATACAGAATTGGAAGCTACTTGAAAAAAATATTTGCTTATAAAATTGTGTTGTTTTTCATGTACTTGTATTTCCTATTATATTAAGATTAGTATTATTGGGATATCTATTTCTAATTCCATATCATAGTGTAAAAATATTCATTGCTACTTATGATGTGCCACTTTTAAGTATTGATAAGTTAATTTTTTTCCCAAATATATTTTTTGATTAAAAATTTTCTTGAGTTTTGAAGAATTAGAAAATAATGAAAAATATTGGGAAAAATTACCCTATTTCTACCAGTGATAGAGAAATGTTAACATTTTATGTATATACTCAGTATTTTTCTGTGTGTATATAATAGATAATAAGTTCTCCCCTCTAAGTTTCTCACTTAATTCTTAATGTTTGCTTTTCAGCTTTTACTAAAAGGATTCCTGTATACTTTAGAAGTGCTTGAGGAAGAGTGATAAAGGCAAGTATCCAACTCTTTATTGTTAATGAAATAACTGGTTCATTGTCAAACCAATAAGCTTTGGTTACCACACCTATCCAAAATATATATATTGGAAAGAAAAACTTAAAGGCAAAAAAGAAAGAAGGATTTGTATATAATTTGGAATTTTTTTAAAACACCCTCATAAACATTCAACAGATTTTAAAAACATAATTTTTAACTTTTTTTTCTTTCTTTCTTTATTGATTAAGGTATTACATATGTGTACTTATCCCCCCATTAACTTACTTCTGATACTAATTCAGAACAACTTGTTTCTTAAATGTAAACTAATGGTGTATTGTATTTTGGCAAAATGGGTTCTATAAAAATTGTTAAAAATTCTGAGAATTTAACAAAGTTACCTTAAATGTTTGGTATGTAGGTGGTTTTTTCTCCTCTTTCCCCCTTTTCACTCCTTCACCCTGCCCCCTTTTAGCCATGTCCTTCTGTTCCTTTTTTTCTTACTTCCTCTGGTTTACTTATAAGAACTCTACTTTTCAGAGAAGCTGAGTGAATAAAAGAGAAGCCAACATTTCCTTCTTACAAAAGCACACTTACTTTGCAGTTGAACTTGTGTTAAACTAGGGGTCTCAATATAGTTAGTTATTCAGGGAATTTTATAAACTGAGCAACAGTTATTATTTATTAGAATTTACAGAAGAAAATAGAGGATTCCTAAAAAACTTTGCCATTGTTGAATTTCTTTAGTGCTTGCATTCTCCCCCCCCCCCCCCCCCAACCTGAAACAATATGAATGTCCCTTATTGGTTGCAACAGGAAGTGGAAAAGGAAGGGGATACAGACAGCTTCGGCTCTTGTGACTTTCACAGACTCTGTGGCCACCCTCCCCCTCCCCTTTCTTTTTGTATATATTTTTATTGATTTCAGAGAGAGTAAGAGAGAGGGAGGGAGAGAGAGAGAGAAACATCAATGATTAGAACACATTGATCAGCTGCCTCCTACACATCTTCTACTAAGGATTGAGCCCACAACCACGGCATGTGCCCTGATTGGGAATCAAATTGTGACCTCCTTGTTCATAGGTTGACGCTCAGCCACTGAGCCACACTGGTTGGGCTTGTGCTTGCATTGTTACTGTCAGCAATTTTATAGAGTTAATTATTGCAATGTTACTGTCTTTCTTATTTTTGGCACAGCATTTGATCTTCCTTAATATTTTACTTATATTGAAAGGTGGCCTTAAATATTTCGTTGGCCTACAGAAAATTTTAGCAAGGGTCAAAATTTTGACTAATATTGAAAGGTAGCCTTAAAGATTTTCTGTTGACCTGCAGAAAATTTTAGCAAGAGTCAAAATTTTGACCATATTTCTTGTTTGTTGATATCACAGTAATAATGCAGATGATAGCTACAAGTGTAAGTACCAGATTACATTTTACCAGGTGTACCGGTTAATAATGTGGATTTTGTAATCAAAGAAAACACGATAATTTCAAGAGAAACATCAAAAGTGCTTTATTCAAAGTAATGCCCATCACTAGCTACACAGTGCCCCCCCACCCCCATATTTCAGGTAATTTGTGGATACCGTCCCAATAGAACTTTTCTTGTTTTGAGGCAAACCATTCAGAGACCCAATTTTCCACTTCTTTGTACGTTTTGAAGTGCTGCTCAGAAAGTGCGCATGCCATCGATCAGAACAAGTGGTGATCTGAAGGAGCAAGGTCTGGTGAATACAGCGGGTGGGTTAATACTTCCCAGACAAGATCTTTTAACGTGTCTTTAACTGGTTTTTGAAGTGTGTGATGATGTGTTATCATGAAGAAAAATTACTTTGCCATGTCTTCCAGAACATTCTGGTCGTTACACGATCAAAGCATGGTTCAAACTGATGATTTGTTGTAGGTAGCGATCAGTATGAACGGTTTCACCTGGTTTTAGAAGCTCATAATACACCACACCTTCCTGAACCCACCAAACACAGAGCATTGTCTTCTTGCCAAAGCAATTTGGCTTTGCAGTCAATGTTGATGGTTGACCTGGATCAACCCATGATTTTGTGCATTTGGGATTCTCAAAATAAATCCACTTTTCATCTTGAGATGGAGCATGTTCAACATAAGCTTCCTGAAGTATACGCATAACTTTTCTTCAAAATAAATGAATGAATTATAACTTGCCACAAATGCTCTTTTTGGGCATGAAATTCGACATTTTTAAGTGTAAAAATACCTATGATGTTAACACCTTCAGAAAATTTGACATATGAAGTTTTGAAGCTTGCTGTCAATACATCAAAATAGCATACATATCAAATCACATGTATATCAACTTATGTGTAACTCCATCTATTGAAAAAATCCGCATTATTAGCCATATACCTGGTATTGTCAATGTAATAGGTTGTTTTTCAAACTTCTTTTCTTACCACTTGATGTTTAAAAATCAACTTAGAGTGCCATGTTAGGTAAGCCTGTGCTGGTTAGTATGGTTATGTCTTGCCTTTAGAAATCCAAGAATTTATTCCTGTACTATTACATAATCATTGTATTTGTGTAGATAGCCTGTGCAAGCTTTGGCTTGGAGATTGACATGCTATTTCTAGATTTTCTTAGGAATGCTGGCATTTCCTTATAATTAATCATCACTTTAAATTCTGTGAAAATAAATGATGTCCAAATGCTAGTGAAATCTCAAATGAATTTACTAACACATAAAATGTACCATATTTTTCATTAAATATAAGAGAAGCATAAGATCACTTGATTAGTTTATAACACTGCCCAAAGGATTAGGTTTGTTGAGTAATAAATTCCTTATAATTCCTTTTACCTTTATATATGAAACAAGTAGGTTTTCCAACTAATCTTGACATTGTGCCTTTATTCATGGTACCTTTTACCTCTCATGGGAGAAATTTATCTTATATATTTTACTTTCTAAACAAACAAGAAAATCATTTGTGTTATTTAGGTAACGAAATACAAAGAAGGAAAAAAGTAAATTACTTCTTCATTATCAATCTGCTGCTTTCACATCCTCCTAACTAGCCCAGTGCAAGAAGAGAGATTAGTTGATGTACAGTGTTACTTCTCTGAGAAGTTCAAAGCTTTGCAGAGTGGAACTAATTCAATAACTATTAGTCTACCCTACAAACTCATGAGGGAAGGTGAAGATAATTAAATATAGTATATTATGGCAACATTTTTGCCCACAAGGAGCCCCAGAAAACTCCAGTAGAGACCAAGATAGCCATTCATCTAATAAGGATTAAGGGTTTTTTCTTTCTTGGCTTTCCTACAGAAAAAAATAAAAAACAACCCAGAAGTAATGTATAGTCAGGAAAAGGGTATGGCAGGATTTTAGTGTGGCCACAAAGAATTTGAGTGAAAGGCACTAAAATTTCCCATTCTTGTAGCTGCTATTTGCTTAGTTTGGGAGCAAAGAATTTTGTGGTATTTAGAAAAAGAGAAACAGTATCTTTTACCTCATCACATTATTTATGCTTCTGAGTCATGAAGAGGTCAGGAGATGAGGAAATAGGCATGAAAGAATATGAACAGCAGAACCACAATGACAGTGCCCATATACATGGTAAGAAGGTCTTCTGAGAGTAGCTACCAGGAAGAAAACTAGTAGGTTTACATTCCTGTGCCTCTGAACTTTAGTAGCCTTGAGTTTATGGTAAACGTACTACATCCAGCTAATTAATGCCTTCTAGATTACTACTTGGTGGCAAGGAGTCCTCATTTCTCTAGAACATGACCACCGTAGTGCTTCATTGATAGTGACTTAAACTGTTCAAAGTACTTGGGGTAGTGTAGGGAGTTTTAAAGGTCTTTGAACAAAAAAATTAGGGAAAGTGTGGACATAAAGAACTTCTTCCTTTACCATATTTTGTCCTCTCTAGCAGGTTCTGTGCCTCAATGCAATTTTGTTTTATATATTTCTGTGATGAAAAATCTCATGCCTACCATCTCTCCTCCTCTTTTTGTGCATGTGATTTCCGTAACCATGGCAGTTGTGCTGACCTTACATTTTTTAGTTTCAGCTTCCTTTTAATTTCCTGCATTTAATATTGGTGTGTGGTTGTTGCTGTTTGATCTTTCTTTTTCCCTACTCTTTTATTATACCCCAGTTATTGTGTTATTTCTTTGCTTTTGAATTTTTGTGGATATATGGGAAGCTTCTGTCAGGGATGATACTATTCAGAGAAAGGGAGTTCCTAGAATATGTTTTCTTGATAGCTAGTACTGAGCAAAACTCTAGTCTCTCTGAAAACAGATCCTGTCTGGATTATTCACTCATGTAGAGCCCCAAGGTCATTAGTGCTTCAACAGATAGTTTAGCTTACAAGATTTTTTTTCTTCTATTTTCTTCTTCATTTTTTTTTAAACATTTTATTGATTTTTTACAGAGAGGAAAGGAAAGGGATAGAGAGTCAGAAACATTGATGAGAGAGAAACATCAATCAGCTGCCTCCTGCACGTCCCCTACTGGGGATGGATGGGCCTGCAACCAAGGTACATGCCCTTGACTGGAATCGAACCTGGAACCCTTCAGTCCACAGGCCGACACTCTATCCACTGAGCCAAACCAGTCAGGGCATTCTATTTTCTTCTTAAAGAGCAAACTTTTCAGCCAGTAACTTTGATGAATATGAATGGTAACTGGAAATTCCTCTTTTCCGTTAAAATATACACAGTTAGGTTGTGATATCTACTTATTATTACGGTTTGAATTTACTGAGTTTCAGCAGTTGAATAATTAATTAACTGTGGTTATAAATGAAAGTAATTAAATCACCCCAGCAAGACTATACATATTGAATATTATGTTCTCTCCTGATTTCCCAAGCAATGGCTGTTTATCAACTATTATTGTGGTTTTCATTCCAAGATGACTGCTCTAGTATTCAATTTTTCATATATTAAAACTTGTAGGGATTTAAAAAAAAAACAACGTTGCTGTTTTCATTTCCTATGTACTTGTTTCTGAGCTTTTTCTCTTATTCTAGAAAATAATCATTACCCACTATCTAGAAAACTGTCTTTTAATCTTCTGATTAAAGATTGCTTAACGATAGTGCTCATTTGTTTGGCTAGTGGCATGTTTTTCTTTAACACTGGAGTTTCTGCATGGATTTATAATATGAGGTTCTTCTTCTTCTTCTTCTTCTTTTTTTTTAAAGCATTAGATAGGCATGAAGCCTCCATCTCACAGCTGCATGTGTAGTTACTATTGAAGCAAATGCCTACCTAATTTGACAGTCTTGGTGTATTTAAAATTTTTGAGTTTGCAAAATAAGCATATTAAGTCTACTGATGGAGCCTTCGGGCAGTGAACAGTTATATGAGGACCCTGATCCTGGAGGCAGATCCCAAGATGCAGAGGCCAGAAAGCAGACAGAATCAGAACAAAAGTTGTCTAAAATGACTCACAATGCTTTGGAGAACATTAATGTGATTGGCCAAGGCTTGAAGCATCTCTTCCAGCACCAGCGCAGGAGGTCATCTGTGTCTCCACATGATGTGCAACAAATTCAGGCAGATCCAGAACCTGAAATGGATCTGGAAAGCCAGAACACATGTGCAGAGATTGATGGTGTCCCCACCCACCCCACAGCTCTGAATCGTGTCCTGCAACAGATCCGAGTGCCACCCAAGATGAAGAGAGGGACGAGCTTGCATAGTAGGCGGGGCAAGCCAGAGGCCCCAAAGGGAAGTCCCCAAATCAACAGGAAATCTGGCCAGGAGATGGCAACTGTTATGCAGTCTGGCCGACCCAGGTCTTCATCCACTACTGATGCTCCTACCAGCTCTGCTGTTATGGAAATAGCTTGTGCTGCTGCTGCTGCTGCTGCATGTCTTCCAGGGGATGAGGCAACTGTAGAGCGGGTAAGTCTGTTAGAGTTTCTTTTTCTGTTATTGTTCTTTCTATCTGGGATTCTTTAAACTTTTCTTTGGTAACTAAAAAGAGATAGCAAGAGATATCTCAAAGTTGTGGTAAAATATAGTTCCTGTTTTTGTTAAAGGGAATGAATAGTAATTATTGCAGCTAATGAATGCATGCTTATAATTATATTCCTATTTGCTTCCTAACATATTGCTATATTTTATTTTACTCTTTTGCTAAAATCATCAGTATACTTTATATATTCTTTATGTCTTAAAAATCTCAGTTTTATGGTAGAGGAACAAAGATACTTTGTTGTTGCTTTGGTTTTGCACATGAATTGGCTTTCTTACATTAATGAAGGTAATGAATAAAGTTCTAGAATCTGGGTGTGTCTGCTTAGTGTGGAAATATAAATTGCTTATAATTTTCATACACACTGTGCCATTCAATATACATTTTGCTTTCTGCAGTAGAGCATATACATTCTTTTTTTTAAAATAGTGGCTTTCACACTTTATTTTTTAAAATATGTTTTGATTGATTTTAGAGAGGAAGGGGGGAGAGAGGGAGATAGAGAGAGAGAGAGGGAGAGAGAGAGAGAGAGAGAGAGAGAGAGCAAGAGCAAGAGAAATATCGATGATGAGAGAAACATTAATCAACCGCTTCCTGCAAGGCCCCCTATCAGGCATCGAGCCCACAAGCAGGGGACAAGAAAAGGGGAAAAGAAAGTTTTTCCTTTTTTCAAATATTGTTAACTAGATCAGCTTGTTTGAATGAAGGCAGAAATCTAAGCAGTGACAAAGGCTGATTTCTACACTACCCCTTTTTGGTTTCTTTTGTTCTTGTTGTTTCTTATGTTATTACTTCTAAATAATTTGTCTTTTTCCAATGAGTAGCAGTGGAAATAAAATACTGGAATGATTCCCTAAAGTTATTTTTAAAACTGTTCATCATTATAATATAAGCAATGACATTCTGGATTCTCAGATATCTAAACAAAATAATAAGAACAAAAAAGTAATTATTTACAGTATCTAAGATAAAGTCTCTTTTGTTTAGTGAGTTAGCCAGTTAAATAAATAATCGCCATGGAGCTATTTCTGCATAGCAAGGTTGAGGGTGGGGTGGAAAAGAGCTCAAATTAAAGTCTCACATTAACCATAATATAATGTTGCATAATTATGGTTAAGAAAGGGGGATGAAGGTGAGAACTATTCCTGTATCGTCTTTCTTACTGCCATAAAACACCAAGAAGCTTGCCTTGAAAATACTGAATTTTAATGACTCATTTGATTATTGAGAATCTTTTCCATGTACTTGGTAATAATTTTGCAAGAATGTTTTGTGGAAGTGAAATTGTTTTAATGTCATTATATGGGATCATACTCAGCTTGTTGAGTATATAATGATGCAAGACTTTTATGTATATAATATAATTTCAGTTGCATGTCAGCTTTTTGAGGTATGTGTGATCTCCGTTTGTACAAACAAGGTAATTAGAGCTTAGGAAATTTTTAAAATTTACTTAGACCAGAGAGCTCGTCCATGGCTGAGTCTAAGTTCTTTGCTCATTCTCCCATAGCACAGATGCCTCAATATTGTAAGTTTTTATTATGTATTTAGTGGGAAAGGTGTAATATAAAGACAGAGAGTGTAGAAGATTGTAGAAGGATCTAGACTGCCAAAAAGTTAGTAACCTACCGACTAGTTGGAAGGTACATCTAAGTAGGCTAATTTTCCTAAAACACCTAAGAAAAATTAAACAATTTGTTTTAACAATTAAAACAAGATTTGAAGCCAAAAAACTAACTCTTGTAGAGAAATTAGTAAGGTAGAAATTTGGATAAAAGAAAGAAGTAAAGGTTTCTAAATGCTTTCCGTATCTATTCTCAAAAGGTGGCAATGAAATTGCTAAAAGTCCAGAAGTCATTATAACCTTTCTAACCTCCAAACAGTGCTTTAAAATAGGAAAAGAAAAAAGAAAAAATAGGGGAAAGAGAGATAATTGACTGATTTATCCTTGTTTTCAGGTAATCTGACTGGCAGATAATCTGGCAGTTAATAGCAATGATTATTTTTAATTCTGTGTTTTTAGTTATTTTTTCCTTGCCAAGTTTATATAGCCACCTGGAGGGGTAAGACAAGAGTGCTGGAGTGTTATCTTAAGAATGTTCCACTTTTCTTTTTGAGTCTGTCATTAACACAACATCTTAGGTTGAGAGTGACTTCTATAATCATTTTATTCAGCTCTGCAACATTCTCCCTAAGTGGTTAACTGGTCTCTCACAATCTCTCAAAGATTACCATTCTACTTGTAATGTTTCTATTAGACAAATCCAACATATTAAATGGAATCTGGTTCCCTGTATTTCTCCAGTTAATGCCAATCAGAATGTGTGTAATGCCTCTGCAGACATGAATAGCTTTCACAATGTGTGTGTCTGAATAGTTCCTTCTTTAGGCTAATAATACCTAGTCCAGTGATGGCGAACCTATGACACGCATGTCAGAGGTGACACGCGAACTCACTTTTTTGGTTGATTTTTCTTTGTTAAATGGCATTTAAATATATAAAATGGATATAAAATATATAAATCTTTGTTTTACTATGGTTGCAAATATTTCTATATGTGACACGGCACCAGAGTTAAGTTAGGGATTTTCAAAATGCTGACACGCCGAGCTCAAAAGGTTCGCCATCACTGACC